AGATTTTTTTTTTTTTTTGCTTCCTCACAGAAAAATGACTTCTGATGGGGAAGCCTCAAAAGCAGTCACATGTCTCTGTCCAGGTCAGTTTGGGTGCCCAGAATAGCTGGAAGAGATGTAAAATCACTGTTGAGGCAGCAGCGCTGGGCAGTCGTGTGTGTAAGAGGAAACACACTGTGCTTGTGGCATGCATGATGGAGGGAATTAATGTTACAGTGAGTGACTGGGAAAAATGGAGTTTCTGTTGGATCCTTGCTGCAGGTTAGAAGATGTAGTAGTACAGCATACTTTATTCTTTAGTCCCATGTGATTTGAACTGAATTTGAATCTCTTGTCACATGTGCTTTTTGAACCATTAAGAGATTCCTCGCTCAAACAGCCTTATTGATCATTGGATTCTCAGTTAGGGCTAGGGCTAAAGCTAAGCTATGCTATGCAACTTGAGCTACGTCAATTGTGTAGCTTAAGTCCAAATGGCTTATTTCGGCTTTTGGTGCTGTCTACAGAGGAGAAAGTCTGAGAGGGAGCACTCTCCCTCCAATTTTCCTTACTCTTCTTAAAATGAGGGTTGCAGGATTCTGAGTCAGCAGTCTTCCAGCTCAACATTATTTCAACATTGTCGAAATAACGGCTTGTGTAGACATGGACTATGTTATTTTGGAATAACATCCGTTATTCCAAAATAATGCTGCTGTGTAGACATAACCTTAGTGAAGTAAAGAGTTACAAGTTTTACAGTTGGTGTATCCTCAGAATACTGAGATGTGGTATATTTAGAAAAGGTGTGAAAAAGTTAATGAAAGCAAGAATAGTAGAATTGCTTCATGCACAGAATACTTCCATGTTACATATTTATTATTTCTAGATCATTCAGCCCCACCTGCTGTTTTGGTGAACACTGTTGGAAAGCTATGTAGCGTAATTAATGAAAATGTGACTGGACAGGTAGAGCAGCTGCTAGGAACCGAAGAAGACATCCAAAGGTATTTGGGCTTTTGTGACCTATATAAGCGCACATGATATTCAACTTACGAGAACCAGTTAGGATTTTTCTTTAACTTTCAGCATCACCATTTTAAACTGTGTTGTGGAAGTACAGGCATGATAGAATATCCAGAATAAATGGACTGGAGAACTTGACTCAGGAAAATATGGTTCTAAGGCTAAAGTCAAGATAAAAAATTTCTGTATTTTACTTGAAAATATAGTCAATTTAAACCAATATCCTATTAGTCGGTTGTGAATCTTACAAGGGAGACAAAAAGTATATTGAGTGTGTGTGATAGCAAGAACTATTATTACAGGTGAAACATCTTAATAATCATTGGGAAATTAGTTGGTTGATTTCATTGATCAGGTGACCTTAAGCTCCCTGTAAATATTTTTTAAATGTCTTTCTGGTTCATAATGTTTTCACTTGTGCCATATGTGCCTAGCTTCAGGGCTTGTTTGTGTTTGAACCCTCAGTGGAAAAGAACTTGAGGCGGCAGCTGCAAGTAGATAGTGGTACATCAGGCTCTCCTCTTTATCCCCAAGACATTCAATGAAAAGCATCAAAGTTAACTGAAAAATCTTTTTCTCACATTATAGATAAAGGAGCTTGACAGGAAATGTATACAGCCAAGAACAGCAAGAATCAGTAGTATTCCCCTTCTGCAAGATTTTACATCTTCCTCTGAAGCAGCTGCTATTAGGCCCTGTTAGACAATATTCTTAATTACATATATGAACCACTGCTCAAATCAAGTCCTGTAAAGAACAAAGCCATGCTATTTACTATTTCAGTAAGTTTGCACAGGACCATAAACTTAAAATTACAATTGACTCATTTCAGTATTATCAACAGACTGGAAGAACATGAAGACTTCTTTCCTGTATTTCAAGCACTTATTCAAGATTTACTTTGTGTTTTAGGTAAGTTATGTTTACAACATGGTTTCAGCCCTTTGCACTCAACCCACAATGACCTTCAGTAGAAATTTCAATGTGTTGCATATGTGCACAGTCGTGATGTTCCCAGGCTTTACTTCCAAACAGGGAGTGGAGTCAATAAATGAACTTCTGCCTTCACATTGCTAGCATGCTACACATTGCTTGTTGCAGGGCATTGGAATGGGGAATCAGAGGAGCCTCAGTGCAGGTGGAATAGAACAAGTTTATTCTGGATCTTAATTAGGGGGTTTGCAGCAAAAGTATTACTGTGTGCCTAGCCAGAGTTAACTTGGACTGTTTTATTTCCCTTTGTTCCCCACACCATCCCATCCACTCTGCTGGGTCAAGTTTAGTAATGCTTATCTGGAACTGTAGGCTAAAACGCAGGGGCTGGTAACCTACCCGAGCAGCTTAGTCCTTATTCACTACAGCTTACGTGCTACATTCTACAATTCTCCCCCCACATGCCCATAAACTTATTAGGAAAGAATCAGAGCAATTCTACTTACTGCCTTAAAGAATGAGGTGAGTGAGTGCACTCAGTGTGGCTGCTCATTCAGAGGGTAACTCTTCCCAGTGCATTCTTGGATCATACTTTAAAAAGCAATTTTCAATTGCTGAAGTATATAGTGAGTCATACCCAAGGGATCTGTTTGTCACTTAACTGCAAGTAGGTGAAGAATTTAGCTAATAGGCCTGCATGTGTGTGGGATGAAAACATCTAAGTTCTTGGTAGTCATGTAAATAAGGGCTTACAGGTTGGCTTTGAGCTGCACACCATGCAAATGGCTACATGTTAGATTTTTACTCATTTTTAGAGGTTCACAGTCTGAAAAATCTTCTTTGAGAATGTTATACCTCTTGGGAATTGTTAAAATTGTAAGGAAACAATTAGTAAGATGTTTACTAGTAACAGTAGCACAAATGAAACAAGTAGCAGCTGGATGCCTGGAAAAAAGCAGCCTGACTGACTTGTTACTCCCAACTTCAGGTATAGGGAGGCTGGATTTGCATCAGCACCCTAAAGAACTTGACCAAACAACCCATTCCCAGAGAATTTAAGTGTAAAGTTTATTTGCTGTAATAACATGTGTCCTAACATTGAAGCTAAAATTTCTACTTGTAGACAATACCACTATTCTTCCTGTATACAAGTGACTCACTGCTGTGCTTTTAACTTGGTTTCAGAAATCAATAATGTGGATGACATTGTACCTACTGTGCAGAATCTCAAACTGCTAGTTCGATGAAGATGTTAATGTAACTCAGCTGTAAGTAAAATCTAATTTACAGCTACCTCCCTCGTGTTTGATCCTGATGTACAGTTTTTTATAATTTTTTTTGACTAAAATAAAAGTTAGTTAGCAAATCTTACTATTGCATTTTTATTAGTCCATTACCAGGTTAGAGAAGAGATCATGTTCCTGAAAATATATAGATGAGTTAACTTCAGTCCATCCTACTCTACCAAATCCAGACAGGCATGGTGTTAAAATGATTGATCCTTTTGGTATTTATCTCTGCTGTAAAATCAGTTACAGTATGTAGAGCTATGCTGCCATAGATGTTAAACACAACTTCTATGGAAAAAGTACAATGAAACACCTTAGCCATTCACTTACATTATTTTCTGCAGTGATTTATTAGATTAGAATTCATGAATAAGATCCAGTTCTAGTTGTATGAGTCAGTGACCCATTTTATCTACTGCAGGTTGAATCTCTCTAATCCGGCACCCTTGGACCTGACTAGTGCTGAACTACAGGATGTCAGTAGTGGCTAGCAGCATTACCAACACTCCACTGCTTCCTGGGCTTTTAGACAGTTAAGGGTGAATTAGAGTTAAACAACAGTAAACACCACAGAGCCAGGACTGGTTGCTGTAAACAAACTTTATGGGACTTGCTGATAAGGGATGTTGCCAGACCAGAGAGTGCTGACTAGAGGTTCAACCTGTACTGGACTTGTGGCTGGCTGCTGTAAAAGTTTTTTGGGATATTGACAATTAGGATTCTGGGGAACAGGATGTGGAAGTTCTGGAATATAGCCGGACTAGACTGTTAGATAATTGAAACGCGTTAGCTTTCAAATGCAGATTTAGTGGCAAGCCTGTTCTGGTATTTTGAACCAGCTATGCTACTGAGAGCTAGATCTTGGCTCAGAGGTTGCATTTGTTTCACAAGCAAGATTAAAATTGCCTTTTTAAAATGGTTTATTGTACATTTTGAAATTTTAAAATATACTAAATTCCTGGAAGTAGTTTGCCTCATACTTAAAGTCTGTTATAAAAGTAAAGTGGACTGTGCATTCTTAGCAATATTTACAAGACTTTAGAAATAGTTAAGTACAATAATAAATTCAACCTTAAGGCATCAGATAAATCCCTGCTGATAATTTGGCACAGTCACCCTACTTTGGTGGCTTTTACGTGTGTGTGTGTATATATATATATCCAGGGCTCGACAGATTATACAATCTACTCGCCTGTGGCGAGTAGATTGTATAAACCCGGAAGAGCTGGGTTTCGGTGATCTGCGCCAGACAGCGCGGCTGGCGAGCCCTGTATATATCCATTTCCAGATGGCATCTATAATCTGCTTTATAAAAAGCTCCTGAATAGTTGAATTGTAACAGTAGTATTTAGACTATTCTAAATGGATTGCAATAGCTTCTCTTTGAGCTCTTTGTGTGAAGTGTTGAAGTCTGTTCTGCAACTGCCATAGTTTTAAAGCATTCTGTAGACAAGAGATACAGACAGCATAGAGAAGTGACATCTATCTTTTTTTTTTTAAATAAGTCAGACCTGCTGTATTCTTGGGGCTGGAAGTATTCTTAAGTAGTGAATAATCAAATATGGAAAGTAAAGTTTTTGAAGATGTGTCTTGTAGGACCTAATGCCTGTGTCTTTGTTCTTGGTTTAACACCTCCAGAGCTAGTCTAAATCTGAAAATTTCAATTTCTACCTTTTCTAAAATGATAGCCAGCCATTTGAAAAGGGTAAAATATAAACACATCATCTCACAACTTGCTTTGTGTACAATATTCTGAAGTTTTAAAAACAGATTAGTTACAGAATATACATATATACACACCCCCCCATATAAAGAATATAAGTCATTGCATGTAAGGCACATGGTACAGGACATCATCTTCTGCTTTGTCTGTACGTTCTCAACTCATACCTGCCGGAGACAGCAAATTAGTGTGTGTCATGACTACCTGATTTCAAAATGCAGAATTACAAGTGATTTTAAAATTTGGAGCAGGTATTTTTAAATGTTTGACATTGCTGTGGTTATTTTTTTATTCTGTTGCCTGACCATGATCACTAAACTTTTCAAATGTGAAATTAGACAGGCACAATCTTGAACACTACAATTTAACAATTCCTATACATTAATACTGTAATTTAAAAATTGTCAGATCAGTATTGCTGATTAAAACTTAGCAAATTAAGATTTTCTGTCTCCCAGGTTATTAAACTAAGAGCATTTAAGCAAATGATACCCCATTAACTATTGCACATTAGTCTGCAAATAGCATTAATATACCTTCTTAGTTTAACCCCTTCTGAGATTATTAGTGCAGGCAGTCCCCGGGTTACGTACAAGATAGGGACTGTAGGTTTGTTCTTAAGTTGAATCTGTATGTAAGTCGGAACTGGCGTCCAGATTCAGCCGCTGCTGAAACTGACCGCCAG